TTAGAAAATGGTGGATGAAACATTGTTTTATAGCTAGCTAAACCTCCCACTTGTACGACAGTCGCATACAATTCCATTATATTGACAAAGTGTAAGCAAAATAAACAAACATAAAAGGTAAAAATGTCAAAAATTGGGGAACAGCAGTCAACATTGTGTTATAATCTTAAACACTATTTAACAAATAACTGTTTCAACAAATAAAAACAAAATGGCATATAGACACTGTATAGACAAAGTATAAAATTAAAAAGGAAAGACGAGAATACGAAAATAACCCTAGTACAATAACACAATTGTGGGATGTATAAATACCTAGCCTCGCAAGAAGTATATACCAAAAAAATGGACCAAACAGTAAAGGTTAAAAAATATACAAATACAAATAAAAAGAACACCTTAACACGTTATTAAGATGATAAACAACGCCAGTACCTAGACTCTATACTTCAAGACCATCATGTATTATTTGTGAAGTTGATACTGACCATTTATCGACAAGGTCTTGGTATCTTGCGATGAACTTTCTTAAAAAAATGGACGAGACGTTCTTTGACATAACACTAGTTCGTCAACTTTCTGCTCAGACACTGATGACGTTTTATAAAGTTCGAGTAGCAGCTGCAAGCTCTTGAATACCGAATGAGTTGGGAAATGTATATCCAATATGCAGATGAAGTTCAAAGATTAAACTTAAAATCGTCTCGCTTGTCATAGATTCTGGTACTGAGATGACCACTTATGTCAAATTGGTTTTAAAATGAAATGATTTATATGACATACTGTCGATGTAAATAGATATTGCGTAAATCTATATGAAAAATAACATATTTTTTACAACACCTAACAAGTGTGTTAACGTTACATACTAATCTTAGACATTTATAGTATATATAGTACCTAAAATATTGACCTAAAAATATGAGAAAAGACTCTTAACCACCTAAATGTACATGTATGTATATATATGCATACCACACACGACTCGCTGGCGCTTGCATTAATTGAACCTAATTGTTTTCAATTTAACAAAACAAAACTTTGTTTTTATATTGATAATGTGTACTAGACTTTAAAAAAACATGTAAAATAAATAAACAGATCAATAACCTATTTGAACAAGTTCAAGGTTACCCTTGTTGATAGTAATGCACATTACAGATGTTTAAATTTAATTTTGTTTACAAGTAAATTCGACCATGCGTCAATTTAAAAATCATTGTAATATAGTGTTACAAATTTTAATTAAAAAAAAGACTCTCAAGTCTTCTAAAATTGTTCGATTTCATTGTTGAGTAAAATAATCCTCATTTCATTTTGTTCCCTCTTTCTATCTTATTGTTTCTTCTTCTTTCTTTTGATGATAACTGCAAAGTTAATATCAAAATAGATAATAATCTAATCAAAATATCTTTATTTTAGCACTCTCAAAGAAACATAAGTGCATGCAAGATGTGTAAATAGCAATGCTCAAAATCACCAAAGACTAGTAAACCTATTATAAATAAAAAAAATATTTAAATCTATTTACTACTCACATTTCTTAATACATGATTACTTTAACAGTTCCTTTAAATAGGCTTTTACGTCAGACAACGTCTTAGAGCAGGAGCACAGTTTACACATGCTGCCATGTTGCCACATTACAAGAAACGATAGACACTTATTTTGCATGCTTATTGGTCTTTCAAGTTCATATTTCCCTCTTCTATACTTTTTTTTTTATTGATACTACAAAACAAAACCAGGCTCATTGAATAAAATATACAAATTGCTAGTAAGTAGTAAATCAATTTCATATCACTTTTTATTCTAAATTATTGATAGAACGTCAATAGAATAACAAATGCTATGTTCAGTACTATAAAAGGATAGATGAAAACAGAAATATTGAGAAAAGACAAAGTTAAGAATTTATTAAGTGTTCATATTATATCAAAACGGGGCAACATAATCAGAGTTAAAGAAGTAAAAGAGAGAAGAAAAGGTGTTCTTGAAAAAAAAAATTCTCGCTATACACGTCTATATTTAATTCGTGAGTATTCATATTTATGTTTTGTTTTGTAACATTTAGCATTACACGTTTACATACACAATATAGCAGATTTGTTTAATATACATCAGTCTTTTTTTGAGTTATGTGATCTTGGGGGTAATTACTTATCGGTCAGTTGGATAATTTTGTGAATTTTATGATTCCTGTCGAATACATCTGAATATCATACTTGGTGCTTCCATTCAATTGTTATTGAAACAGATTTACCACTTAACTTAAATAATAACGAAAATTTTATCTTTTTTAATACCGAAAGCAACGCTTGTCTGTCGGCTGGTACGTATACGTATATGCGTCTTTGACAATAGAACCGGATGATAAATATGGTTGTGGCAAAATCTATTTTACAAAAAGCTACAAAAGATATCTGTATATTTCTGCTTTAATTTTTCCGTTAAACTTTTTATGTTGAAACCTGCAGTTTTTCGTTTGTATATAAATAGATCGTTATTTACACTTAATGCATATAACGTTATATCTTAGAATAGTTTTTAAGGTATATCATGCGAAACTTTTCTAGGTTTTGATGTTTGATTTAAGGAGAAAAGCAGCCTGTTCCTCCTCTTTTATATGGGTATCACAGCTGTTTATAGCGATAGCTTTTACATATTGAAAGTAGCACCCAATTTCATATTTACTTATTAAAAAACAAAAATTCAATGAGGACCTAAATTATTTCTATCTTGCATAGTAAATTTAACTGAATCTGTTAATCGGGGATTTCGATAATATTAGACAATGGATGCATCTTAGCGTACAAAAGTAAATGTTTTCTTTCCAGAATACATATAAAAACGCTCTTATATAGTATGTCAATAAAAGAACGGGAAATTAAACGGTTTAGAATTTATCTCTAGAAAAATTGAAATTCTTAAATATACTAATATCAAAGCGTTGGTACGAAAAATGTTTTCGTTTGAATATAACCTTTTTTTATACGTACCACGACTTGAAATACCATGATAAAGAGGAAGTCCTCTTAAGCATGTTTAGTAAGTGAGTTCGATAGATATTTAAAGTGAAACTTTTATATCACTTTAATTGAGTGAATTATGTTAGACAAAGCATTCAAACATAAATCTGAATGATAAAATAAGCACACAATTTCATTAAAGTAAATCAAATGTTTACTTCTATATTCATTAAACATGTTGCATAATATTAGTTGCAAATAACATAGGTTTTTACTGTTTTTTAATGTCACCTTTAAAAAGAAGTGAAGGGCATGTCGTATGACTATTACGTAAGAAAAACGATGCTTGTCCTTGTGATACAATTGTGTTTATAAGATGGATGACTTTTTGTGTACAATTTCGGTGAAGTGTACCGCATGATATAACAAGATTTTATGTAAAGACAACATTGGTTGTAAAACTTCTTCATGTTTTGACTTCTATCTTTAAAAAATACTCCAACCACAAAATAATTTTATTTAGCTTAGATTTACACCTATGATAAATCGGCATATATTTCAATTTTCATCGTATCTAAAGCTATCTGTTAGAAAAAGTGTAGGACAAAAATTGAAAAAAAAAAACCACAATACCTTGCACAAGAATAAAAAGGCCTACAAATTAAAACATTACACGGGAAACTGAAGTCTGGGCTGCACTAACGTCAAAAATACACGGGGTGAACTCAGGTGTTCCGGGACGGTAAAAAGTTCATTTTTCACAAGTGGCATCCATCGTGTTGCTCATTGCAAATAAACTAGGTGACTACTCGCATTCTATAAAATCGAAGAAAATAATATTGGATTTTGGTTATTACAATAAAAACATATCCCTATAATCATCTATGAAACATTTATTTCATAACGTTCGTCCATAGAACTTACGAAGGGATGACTTTAACTTTACAGTTTTAACCTCCACGTTCAAGATCTGCCTCTTTCACAAAAATGATAATAGGAAACGCAAGTTAAGAAATATGAATTTTAGATATCTGATTGGTCGAAAATACTGTCTTGGTCTCCAAAGCATGATTGTAGCACATGCTGCATTCTTCTTCTTGCACGTGAACTTGTGTGCTACATATATAAAACGAATAAGTATTAAAATGTTTATTAGAAGAGCGCTTCGGAAGCTTAAAATATATAAAGTGTTGTTTTCAGTCCCCAGGGTTTCATCAACTCAGTAATCAATACATCGATACTAACATGATTTGTAACAAACCTTTCTGAAATTGTCAGTTTGTAAATTTATAAATAATTAAGAAATAAAGGTTTCAACTCTTTCGGGCAAAGTTGACCTCAGATGGATTTGGCTGTTATTTCTAATTCCTTTTTGGTCATATAGTTCTTCAACTGTTTCTGTTCTTATAAATCCTTGGATTTCAAATATTCAGCTTTGAGCATTCCTGATAGAGGTAAATCCCAAAAAAACCTTCTGACACATGGTGTTTACATTTGTTATTGACTGAAGTTTGTCGAAATTCATGTTTGGTCCGATTACCCATATCAAATAGTTAGTTAGTTTTGCTTTGGTTCCTTTTTTGATAAGTTAACGCATTGTAGGTAATTATCATGTTGGAAACTGCATCAGGTTTTTTGTCTTTAAAATTATAACATATGCTTTCAACTACCTTTTCTTTGAATCTGCTCAACCTGATTGATATGAAGTTTGTTGTGTAGGTCCAAAACGGAGGAAGAGTATTCGACAACTTGAAGAACAAGTGATGTGGTCGTAAGGACTTAGTCGTTTAACCTTACGTGTATTGTTCTATAAATATTTTTGTAGTTGTTGAGTGGCCTTTTGCGTTTTTTTGTTTTTGTATGTGTGTAGTTATTATTAAAGTTTGATTGTTTAATTGTTAAGTTTGCGTTCATTTGTTTGTATTTGAATATTAACTAATAGTCATACACTACATACACTATAAGACGATGTAGGTGAATATATGCATTCAATTTTTGTTGTTGCATTTGATAAATTACTTAACACGGACATAAGAGCCAATGATTTTATTCCGAAACAATAACATTGTATAACATCAAAACCTTATTGTAAAAGTGTTCTTAAAATGTATATATAAAAACATCCCACTGATAAATCTCAATTTGAATACATTAACAGTTAGAAAATGCATATGCCCTATTCATTTCAGAAAATAAGTTGCCTCATGCAGTTTATACATGTATGTTGTCACAAAATTGTAGAAGAGGACACTTTACGTTTTTATTTTATACAACATAAATGTACATTGAAACAATGATAATACAATTATGCAAACTAACTGTACATAATGCACCAGTTATAAATAAAGCAAAATGTAATGAATATTGAAATAACAAATAATATAAATAAAATTAAACATCCTGCTTATCATAATACTAAGTTCATATGATAATTTAAACTTGTATTTGATATCGGGTTCAACGCTTCCCAGTTCGTCCTTATCTTTCCATATGGTTTTCAGCTCTACCGTCATTCCGCCTTCGTTGGTAAACTAGTCGTTACATTACAATATGAAAATTAGAATTTAACATTTTTCCCAACAGTTCTTTATTCATACATATTTTACAATCAAAAACATTTCAGCAGATTATAGCTTTAACAGTTCCTTTAATAAATGCTCTACAGATTGGACATCTTCTTAAAGCTGGAGCACAGTTAATGCATGCAGCCATGTGACCACATGGGAGAAAAACGATGGCCACAGGTTCGTCTAGACAAATCTTACAGGTTTGTTGATCTTTTAAATTCCTGTTTTCTTCCTCGAGGCTCCTTATAGATGCTGAAAGACAATTTTACATATAGATAGACTGGTACAATGATAATTTAGTTGATACCAATGTTTGTAATAAATACTTTCCCCGAACGATAGAAATGGTCAATGAAAATGAAATTAATAACAGTTGAGGACTAAAACAATTGTTTTCACACATAAAACTATATCATGTATATATTTGTCTATGTTCCACTGAATGCGAATAATTTAATATCAGGTACTAATAACAAAATAATCATTAAATAACCGAGTATTATAAAAGAAAATAACAATCTTAAGCAACGTTGTAAACATTGTAGATTAATTTTTATAAATTTTCATATTTCAATTCGTCATAAGTGTCGTTTATATCCAATGGTATCTAATAATACATCTCATGGTTGCATATGGTTATACATATCTGTTCATCTGAGTTATGTTCTTTCTGGAATACCTCTAAGGTTGATAGATATAAATATACTCACATTCCAGTGTTGGGTCAATTTTCTCAATGTTTTCTGGGGTTTTGTTGGAATGTTCTTTATCGTCTGCTTCTTTTTCTGGAGTTGTATTATGACTAGGAATTGTCAGGTCAGAGGTTGCATGGTGATTTTCACTCGCTTCTTTTTCATAAATGGTATCTAGCAAAAGTGAAGTCGTAATATCTGTAAAACAACAAAGATTCCATTTCCGTTTGATGCATATCATCAAAGTACAAAAATGTAGCAAACAACCAGAAACTGATGTCAATGTTCTGTATTTCTTACATTCATACTGTTAGTATAATGGAAGCGTATAGTAAACGAGTTTATCCTGCAATCGACCTTTCAACTGTACAAATACAGGTGTACAGATAACACTATACGATAAACGTATACTAGACGTTTGTAAATTTTAGTCTCCTGGTATCCTGCGTTTGTTGCGAACGTGCGGTTATTATCAAATTATTGTGTACATCACCGTTCAATTTGGGGTCCTCATTGCGGTCCGCGTTCAAGTCATGTAAAACTAACCGTTTAGCTCAATGTTTAATTGCAGGACAAAAATAAACTTCGCACAGTGTAGGAAAGCATAACATTAACTTTTACTCGCTACGGAAAAGGAAAAAAGCTCGGAGAGCGTTGCTTTTCTTTCTGTTTCTAAAGCTCGTCAAATAAGTTTTATATTTTCCTATCAATATAAACAATACAATAGAATTGTATCAAAATTATTCTGGTTGATGTGGTCGTTTATACTGCTCAGGGTATTTTTGTATTGGTGTTATTTAGTTTTTGGGGACATAATACACAAAGTTATTCATGACGTGATTTTTAGTAAATACTGAATAACTTGTTTTTAAAGTCAACGAGTGACAAATTTAGGGAAATATTCTCCTACTTTCTAATACTACTCAAGATTGCATAGAGATACAAGTATATTACATAATAATTATATACATTTACAAAAATTGTAACAATCTAAATTAATACTGTCACTTGTCAGTTGTGTGTTTTAGTGATTGATATTTCACGCGATCATTACACACCTTCATATCATATGATAGAGGTTTTATCAAAACTTATTTCTGTTCATAGCACACTCTATATTTATTTCTGTAAGTGATCTTTGCTTAAATAAGACAGCATTTTTTGGAGAGAAAAAATACTGGCTTTCTTTAAAAACATATATACATCAACACAACCTATATAACAGTGTTAACTTATGAAATAGTTTTATTTGGAAAGTCAAGGTATTTTATTTCGTTCAATAAAGAAATATATGGAAATTATTACTAAACAAGTATTGGGTCTGATTTATAGCATTATGGTGTAGTTAGAATTCAATTGGCTACAATGAAATGTAGATATTTAAACAAGATACGGACAGGAAAAGATATTTGACTTCAATATGGGTATCCAAGACTCGATTACATTATTGCATCATGCTGACGTAATATATGATACTAACAAGCACTCTATACTTTTTTTAGAAGGTTGGACTAGTAACAGTTAGCATGGGAAAGACAAAGTGATCGTCTAGAATAGTATAAATTTGTACATACCATGTATTCCAGATTCTTTCAATCGTGTATAAGCTGTCTTTACAACATCAGATTCGTATCCAAATTCAAGAATAGTTTGCACTGCTTGGTTATTTATGTAACCATTTATTCCAATAGACGCTTTCTTCTGTTTGTTTTCTGTCACCTGTAATATTAAGGAAAAGTAGCTGCATCTAAAGGAATACACATTAGGAGTGTACGTGCACATCAAACACACAATTGTTTTTGATTTCTGGCTTAGTTAAAAGGTTTCGGTAAATTCTTTTTTGAAAACACTTCAAATTTATCTATTTTCTAGCTTATTTATCATACTATCATAACTGAAGAGTTTAATTATTAATTTGTACTTACATTTTCAGCAATTTCAGGATTTGTCCCTCGCTGTACATCATCAATGAACTTTTTCCCCTTACATTGTATACCAAATGGACACATGGGATACCATCGAGCATGTTCTGTCCAAGGCAAATCTCCTTCCTCCCATCGTCTTAAACCACCTCCACAAAAGAAACATCTGCAGTGATCCTCGGTACCTAAATATAACATTTAAAATTCATTATAAGTTAAATTATAAAATTGAATAAAAAAATGTTCACGGAAAGGCAGCGCGAAATTGTTAAAAATATACATACCTGCTCAATTAAGATCATGTCTTTTATCGTTTAAATTTGGAAACTGCCTTTCCGTCTTATATCTCCAATTTCCTGGAAAAAATTCTTAGAAATGATTGTATTTCTATAACTTATGTAAAATTTCATTTTTAAGTAAAGCATAAATTGTCTAATATCTGTATCTTCACGCAATGAACAATACTCACAACTCAATCATTAAAAATCGAACTACTACTAATAATGTTTAGTACACTCAATTAACAGTTAATTACCAGTATAAAAGAAACCTGCATTTACCAGATCCTCTGGTGTTTGAGACAGGTATAAAGGCCAGTTATTAAATGATGAAAATCGAGTTGTCTTTATAGCATATTTAGGATATTTTGGTTTTTCAAGACAAATGCCGATGTTCATTGGTGCTGAATTTGAAGCCGAAGATCGCGCCGAATTTATAACTGTTTGCGTTAATGTTCGTTGTGGGGCAACATTTGTATCTGGTATACGGATGAGACTAGTTGTGTCGTTTCTAGAGTACACGGTTTGCGTCTGGTTCGTTCTTCTCTGTGATGAAATGGCTTCACTGCTTTCCGTCTGCCTATCAGAAACATTATTCACTTGGTTTTCGGTTAGTTCACTATATCGAGATGACGTTGTATCCTGGGCACCTGGAACGATATGTCCATGATTTCTGTCAACTGTAACGATATGTTCATGACTTCTGTCAACTGGAACGATATGTTCATGATTTCTGTCAACTGTAAACGTATTTTCATGATTAACTCTTGCTTCAATTGCATGTTGTTCCTCTACAGATTCACAATGTTTCTCACTGACTACTGATAAATTTTCGGCATCTGCTGAATTACCACACGCGCCTGTGGAAGATTCTGCTCCACCATTTGTAGAAATAGTCCACACATGATCTTGGTTTGAACAAGCACTTAAATGTTTTATAACAAAAGAACATCTTGGTGCCTTTTCCTTGTGAATTCCTGTTGGATCATCTGTTGATTTCCAGTATTGATGTTTTGACCCGCAAAAATAACAGATAACTTCGTCTCCGTGTCCTTCATAGTAATATCCAGCTTTGGCCAGCCTTATTACTGAAATATTTGTGTTTGGATAAGATGCAAAACTTGATAATCTACACCACTCAAACTGCATAGATTCCTTTAAAAAACTGGATTGTTTTGATTGCTGTTGATCAACAAATTTGTTATATTCCTCAGGGTCCAATAAATACGTCTTGAAAAACGTTTTCGGATAAAAATGAAATGATCTCACAAATCTGTTCAGCCATGCTTTACATTTCGGCATGAAATAATCTTTTTCTGACTTCAATGTCATCCATGTCATTTTATTATGATGATCATGAATCAAACTGTGACTATCCATATGTTTTTCGAATATATCCATAAACTCACTTTGAACTGTTTTGACAATAGCCATGACACAAGAAACTATAGTAACAAGCACGGCATAGTTGGATTCTATTGTCTTTTGTTTAACGACAATGTTTACCGTATTAGTTGAGGTTAAGGTTTGCGACTTCTCATCATTAGTACACTGATCATGTTGGGCATCGGAATTGTCATCATCGTTGTATGTTACATTATATTCGTGTCCTGTTTCTAGGTGTTCATCATTTATTGGTACAGTCATGATTAAGATTAACTTCTAGTTCTCTACGTTGTTTGTAAAAAAATAGGTACAAGGTTATATAATATATACTATTACATAATGTTTATGTGTATTACTGTTACACATGTTTTATAATCACGTAGTGTACATACAACTTACATTTATATATAGCCTGATGAAGGTAAATCGAAAAGAGCGCTATGGACGCATGAATTTTATAAAGGACTGTTTTCATTTTCTACAGCACTGCATGGGTCGATACTGTTGCTGCTGGACTATCAGACACCAAGGGTATCATCCCTTAAGAAGTCAATACTTCGGTTATAACATCATTTATGCAATTTATAACATGTTAATTTCATTTTTTGGACAAACCTTTCTTAAATTGTCCGTTTATTTTTTTTGCAATTTTTGAGCAACTTAGGTATAAATCCCCATGCAAAGTTGGCTTTAGATGGATTTGGCTTTTATTTGTATGTCCCTTTTTTGGCAAATAGCTTTTCAACTGTTTCGGTTTTAATTCAGCTTTGGCTTTCAAATATTCGCGTTAAGCGTTCCTGGTGCAGGTAAATCCAGGAAAGCGCTTTGGATGCATGACATGTATAAAGTGTGGGTATCATTTTTCACTGAAACCTCAAATGTTACATACGTAAGCGCACTTGTAATAGAAATAGGTAAAAATATTTTGAAATTACAGATTTAAATGTAGAAAAAGCATCGACCTCAGTATTGGAAATGTTTGTTTTTCATTGAAAGTACGGTTTTTTTTATGTGTTCCATTCATGCACTGACTAAATATTAAAGACACAAATAATGTTTATTCCTTGATGAACTCGTTTTGGATCCCTAAACAAAAAGCCGAAAGCCAGTAAAGACAGTCATGGCAAAACAATCGGTTTATTTATAGATGACATGACAATGTATCCCTTTGGGAGGAGTTTCATGGTTAATTGTTTCTATATAACCAAAAAAATCAAAAAAATAGATTACTGTTCTCGTTGAGCATCGCGAAAGTGCCATTGAGTACATTAAATATTTTACAGTTATCTTTCCAGTGTGAAAGGGAAATCAGGCTGAAACAACTCTTTGGTGGAACTGGGTGCGGGACAAGCGACGCAAACACTTACAAATCTAATGAATTTACATCTAGTCGTCAGAATGTGTGTGTTTATATTATTTCTTAAAGCAGAACCAATGTAGAATCATGCTGGGAACGATGTTTGATATATGTATATTAATATATTTATGGCAATTTCATACAATTTTGAATTTTATTTTCCATTGAGGTACCTACATTGTAATATGAACAATTGTGACATCGCATAATACAAAAATAATCTGTTGTTTTGGAAATTTGTCATCCCAAAGTGCATACAATTGGTCGTATTTTTTTTCAAGCCAATCAAGTTGATGCCTTAAAGAGGAAATGTCCAGATGCAAACAAATTTTCTACGATCTAGACAACATTTCCTTTAGTTTGAACCACGCGGTATCCTGTGAAAATTGGCAAATTTGTTCTTATAAAACATGCAGTACCCATAGTTCAAGAATTTTTTGTCATAACAAAATTTGGCATACTGTGGTGGAAATGAATAAAAAAAATTATATAATATTACAGAAAATCTGGTCCTTTTTTTATGGAAAATGTTAAAACGCATACATCAGAGACATAAATACCATAATAGTTTAAGTCTCTACAATTATTTATTAAACATTATGTTATGATTTCATTCGTATCTTACCTAGATTGTGATACGTGGATCTCACATTGTTACTCTCAATAATAAATATACTATTTATAAATATTGATTAAATTCTAACACGTATATGAAATTACGTTTTAATACACGAAACACCTTAAGCTTATGTGTACATTTAGAAATACTTTATTTGTATGCGTGTAAGAATATACATATATGTGATAACAGTCATACGTAATTTGTGAATATGTGTAATTTAAGTAGTAAAAAAGCATGGCTATTTTAGTCATATATAAAATCTCCTCTATGTGATTTTACCGGCAGTCTAAATTATCACCCTTAATTCCTGTCATCCGACTATGCAGAATTCTCTCCTTGCATTGATTTATATTTGTCCTAAACATGCATTTGCCACAGAACGTCAAGCAAACACAATCATTCAACTTATGGCATGATCAGTGACTATACGCTATTGTAACAACTACATTATGTAGCTCATTATTTCATAATGTAAAATGTTGTACAGTTCACAACATAAATGTTTTATGGTTTGGGATTTTTATTAATATGTAAATGATATTATATTTTTCTAATTGTTTGCTACATGTAAAAGGAAGACAACTCACTTTAGTTATGTCGTTTGTGTACGACTGTAAAATTTTCCCACGCCTCTGAATAATTTTTTAAATAGTAAAATTAATTGAACTTACCTTTTCTGGATAAAGAAGGAAATATTAAAAGTATTATCAATTTTATGTTTATATGTATTATTATAAAGTCTGGCCTTGAACGCCTTGACTGTTTACTTCTGGAGTTGTTTACTAGTTTCAAGTAGTTGTACTATGCTACGGTCAATGCCTTATATAATATAAATATATATGGCCTATTTATAGTTTTGAATGGATATAAATAGTAGCAGCTGCTATCAGGTTATTCTTCGGAAAGTTTCGGGAAGTTTCGGTACATTTCTCGGTTTCGACGCAATCAAAATATTGGGGAAGATTAAAAATGAGCTGTACTTTTATACCTAACATAAATGGCCAATAATGAATTATGATCGTTAATAGAAGCCACAACGGAAATGAATGGTTGTCATTGTTTGACTCTATTAATGTGTACAAATATACCTACGTAGTTGTTTTCTCGTGTTAAGTAATTTTTATTATTAACTTACACACCATACCGATCAATTTATTCAAATAGTCACAGTTTTTTCCATCAACATATTTTTTTCCAGTCGTCAACCTTGTCCCCTCTTGTCACTTTTTGTTCTAAAAGATATAAAAAGAAAAAAAAATCTGTGAAAAACTAACTGTTTTGCGTTAATCATGGACAAGCGATTCTTTAACATGATGTAAACAATACAAAGCAATTACTTTTACGAAGAAATTAATGATTAAATAATAAATCTGTCATATATACCATTATTGTTCGTTGAAATTTTTCAATGTAATTCCAAATTGCGGTTGGCAAAATAAATAATTCCACAAGCAAAATTCTTCGATTATCTTTTTTTACATAAAATCTGGTAACTTTATTTGTTTTTAATGCTATTCACATAAACTTCCTTCCGTCAGAAAATTTGTAACTTACCATATCAGTGACTAGAAATTTGAAATTACTTTTAAGGTACGTCTGTGTACCATTTAGCGACCTGATATTTAGCGACTGACTAAGGTAAGGTTGAGAGAAAAAAAAAGAACAAATTTAAACCAAATACCCGAAACAAAATATGAAATTTAACATATACACTTGTGTTCGTGTGTACAGAATAACCCAAGTGATCGCTACAAACATTATTATTCAGATAATGAAGTACATTTAAAGTCATAAAAACATCCTGCTTTCGGTACTCAATTATTTTGTCATTTATTACCTAATTTTATATAAAAACACATAACCTTAAAAATATTTAAATCTTAATCTAATTCAATCACACTCTTTACTCGCTTCATTTCAAAGATTATGTTCATAGAAATTAAATGTTGAACGTTTAGACTTTCAAACTTTAGGAATAACATCAAACAAATTAAATTAAAGAAATTATTCATATCTATCAATTTAATCATCTTGTTTGTGCTATGTGCGGAAACAATAAGTTTTATTAAACTTCATGTCAAAATGCCAGATTTTGATTGGTTAATACGAGTGAGACAATTTACTCTAACCCATGGCAAATACTCTATTACCCTTCACGGAGACGCTTGCTCAAATGTGCGCTTTAATAAATACGGATGATTGTTATGTACAAGACGACATAGTTTATTACTTTGAATTTGAAATTTAATAGACAGTAATAACAGATAATTCAGTATAATAAATTAATTAACAAATACCTGAGAGGGTGATAGAGCAGATTGGTACCCCTCGAAAAGACATTGTCAACCTTGGCTTCGCCTCAGTTGACAAAGTTTTCTCGGGGTAACAATCTGCTCCATCACCCTCTCAGCTATGTGTTATATATATAGTGAACCTGATGAGCGGTAGCCGTTTTTCTGCCTTGCTACTGAGGTCGTCTAAAGCAGAGAAAAGACCAGGACCCAAGACAAAAGAAGGGTTGCTTTTTCCATAATTATTATGTCCTAAAATTATATATAGTTGTTCAAGGGGGAAACGAATGAGTCCGTTTTTTTTTTCTAAACATTTTAACCATACATTTTAACATTGAAGTTCCTCCTTTTATCTGTTAAAACACAAAAGGTTTATCGAATATCAGTCAAAAGAAAATCATCGTTTCAAGAAACCACAGTTAGACTACCATATCTCTGTCCTTCATATGAGTATGTTTTTTTTTTCTCAAACACGAAAAGAAGATAACTCCAAACAACAAACAAACAAAACTACATAAAAAAAATACTCGTCAGAGAAACAGTATTATTCATAACATACATTGCATATAAGGAGAGAAACAGCATTATGCATAACATACATTGCATATAAGTTAAATATAAGAAGTAAAAACTAAATACTTGAATTCTATAAGGATCAATTTCCACTAAATTTCAGTAAAAAAAAACACTTTATCAATGAAACAGATTCAAAATAACATGACGATACTTTTTCTTACACAATCATACAAACAAACGTTAACAAACCAATCGATTTGACGAGTTCAGCACTTTCAACAGTTTTTTTATAGTTTGTTCTTATGTCGTTCTGTCATACCACTATCTCAGGTGAGAGAATAGTTGGCGCCTACATTTTACGTGTGCCTGTCACAAGTCGGAGCCTGTTTTAAGTGATTGTCGTTTATTGCTATTTCTCATATTTTTTTTGTAAAGTTTATTATTATTTTGTGCTGTTATACAATTGTCCAGCGTTAAGGGAGGTTTGAAACCTTCAAACATGTTTTCGGTAAATTGTTTTGTTATGAATAAGTTTTATCAATTGAATTGTAATAACATAATTTTCATGACGGGACCTTTAATAGCCGACTTTCATTTGGCAATCATACCACATCTTCTTTTTTATATACGGTTTTTTTCTCTCTCTCATTTTATACGGCCTTACGATTGCCTAATTGCTTACATATATTTCTATTCCGTTATATTTGGATTTTCCCTTATCTATTTCTATCTTTTGTAACTGTGGAAAAAGTTTGTAGAACTGTCTTGTAAAACAAGTTTTTAGAACTAGTATCTAATTTTAAGTCTTTGTTTAGTACTGCACGGGCATTTCTTAGGCGGTATTACGGATGGGGTTCTATAGTCATATATAAGTCCGATACTTGTAGAGTATGTATCGAGGTGCTCACAGTAACTTCTTAGTGCAACACGTTCTGCATAGTATGTCCGCCGCAGGTTCTGACCAAGACCATAATGCTACTGGTGAAAATCATCATGATACAGATTTGACTACCGATGAGGCCATTTCACATTTCACTTCAGCTGTAAACAACCGCTTTAGAAAAACAGAAAGAGTCGTTGATTAAACATTTTAAAAGTCGGTTAGGCCAAAGCACAAAGGCAACTGGTGTCGACCAAACAGAATTTACATTCAAGAGCGAAGGAATCAAGATTCAAAATTCGTTTAATTTCGAACGCTGGGATAAACTTTCCGCCATTGAAAGGTGTTTAAAGTTGGGCAACGTTACAGAAATTAGTAATATCGTTTCCGAGGAGAAATAAATACTTCGTAAGCGGAATAAGATCCAATAAATAGCTGATAGACACGGTTGGGACACGGTAAAGGAATATTTGGATAGTCCGTTGGCAGAAAATAAAGAAGATGCTAGTGATTTACATGCTGCTATTTCTAGGGTTGCTCAAAGAAGAAATTCTAAGCCATACAATACACCCGATACTGCAAATAGTGGTTCAAGTCGAGGAACATTTAATTCCAGAAGCTTTTTTCGTAGCCTTAGCCAAGTCAGTGGTATAGACGGGGTAAAAGAAATATTCAAGTGTTTCTATTGCAATCATCCCGGACACTTCGCACGGAACTGTCCCTAAAGATGTATCCCTACAGCAACTTTTAGTGCACCAAAGTCCATACAGGATCAACACACGGGAAAGACACAGTAACCGCACAGCAACAGACGCAGATGAAGTTGAGTATTTATTTGAATTTGGTAACAATTATGAGAAAAATTTGACGAACATTTTGAAAATTTTAAAGGAAATTTAAAAAAAAAACATTCATCATTTTGGAAAAAATTTACTTCATGCTAATGATTTTATTATGAACATCATTCATTTTGGTTATAGAATTCCGTTTTTTGATGATCCACTTTCTGTTTTTCTCAAAACAGAAGTTAATTGTTCATTTGCGGTTAATCCACTTACTGTATCGGTTAATAGTTTGTCAAGTTGTATACAGATAACCAAAATGTTGTACATATTGTTAAAAGGAAGCATGGAAATGGAGTTACAGGAAATTGCTTTGTAAGTATATTCCACATTTGTTTATCTTGTGATATTTTCTTAGATGTTGAATGGATTCCTAAAGATGAAAATTATTACGCATATACTATCTGAGTAAAATCTTTGATTATGATGATTTGGGCGTTTCAAAGCATATTTTTACGTATTTTGGTTTATTGTGGGGACCATTCACATGTGATTCTTTTGCGGATTCTAAAAACAAAAAAGTAGAATTTTTAAATTCTAAATATTTTACTCCGGATACCTCGGGGGTCGATGCTTTCGCATATGATAGGTCTGGCCATAATAACTGGTTAGTTCTTCCAGTTTATTTAGTGAGTAAATGTTTATATCATATGCAGTTATGTATAGCTAGAGGTACATTAGTAGTACCAAAATGGAAATCAGCATTGTTTTGGCCTATTTTAGTCAATTGATTTACAGACTGATTTAAAGATTTTGTAATAGAATTTAGAGAGTATGTAAAACCTATGAACTTTGAAATATTAAGGAGAATTGTTTGGAAATTTGGAAATTCTAATAATCTCAAGAAATTGAGAGCAGTAGTTTTATTTCTGTTAGGTTTTCTGTTTTTTTTTTAGGTATAGCGAATTAGTCAACATCAAGAACAATATTGAATTCAATGACAGTCATATAAAAATGTGTATTGAGAAAAGTAAAACAGTACAGAATAGAAGGGGCAATTCTGTTGTTATAGCTGCTACAGGTACATATTTATGTCCAGTTCTTTGGTTGAAAAGGTATATCGGTTTATCTAAGTTGAATTTGAATTCAGATAATTATATTTTAAGGGCGCTTTCTTACTTTTTTTTAAATCTAAAGCTGTTTATAAATTATGCAGTATTAACAATCCATTATCATATACTAGAGCTAGGGAGATTTTGTTAGAGAGTTTGGCAGACATTGGTTTAGATAAGTCTAAGTTTGTGCTTCATAGTTTAAGAAGCGGTGTCGCTTCCACTGGTGAAAATCGAGGTTTATCTGATAGGTTACTTAAAGCTCATGGTAGATGGGCTTCTGATAAAGCCAAAGATGGGTATATTATAAAGACACTTTAAAATCTCAGATGGCTGTCTCTTTGAATCTGGGTATATAATCCTCATAAAACATTTTTTTCCTTTTTTACATCGAAGTTTCTGCGAGCAAACCAAGCCTACATTTTGACTTGCCTCTTATTTAGCAATGTAGATAGATTAGAAATGTTTTAAACTCGAACGAATTTATGAGAGATGATTTAAATATATTTCTATTCCGTTATATTTGGATTTTCCCTTATCTATTTCTATCTTTAGTAACTGTAAAACAAGTCCAATACTTGTATAGTATGTATCGAGGTGCTCACAGTAACTTCTAAGTACAACACGTATAGTATATTATTTGCATTATATTATAATGATTTAGCGTAGAATAGCTAGGTGTGTGTTTGTTTAGAGATGGTTGTAATGCTCTTATTATCTTTATTAAATGTTGCATCGCTAGGAAAATAATAAGTTACTGCGAGCAAACCAAGCCTACATTTTGACTTGCCTATTATTAAGCCATTAGATAGATTAGAAATGTTTTGAATTCGGACGAATTTATGAGGGAGAATTTAAATTCACTTCTTTTGTACTTTGATGGATCCTTGTCTCATTGGCAATCATTCCGCATCTCCTTATTTTCTAAAAAGTCTTTAGCAAAAAAAAATTTAGTAAAAACGCAGATGATTGAGAAATTTACCCCTGTCCAGTGTTTATGCGCTCATCCAAAAATACAAAATGTTTTTAACTCTAAAATGGTAATAGCCTTTCTACGAGTCCAGGGTTTGTAACACAAATCCATATACGAAAAAAATGTTCTGAATGAATAAAACTACAATTATAAAAGTAATTAAAAAATTATGTTCAATATAATCAGCTATTCGACTATCAGCTTTTAGAAAAGCTATTACTTGTTTACTTGTATTCGTCAATAAACTTCTTACCTACACAGACGCGTGATCATAGCCGCAACACCTGTAAGTAAAATGTATTTGTAAAACAAGTTTGTCTCATTCACATTACAAGATCTACAAAAACAAGTTGCTTGATAAATACACATGTATAGCAATTTAATTTTTATAATAGTTCAAAAATAGATTTATAATCATGTATGCATTGTTTGAAACTCACGTGATTCGGAAATCATCAAGTTATTACTAGATAATGATCCAAATCGATAATTAATACATACATCATATCAAAATAATGTGTTTTTTTCTATGTATAACATGTATAATGAAATTGCAATATGTTCTGTATTTCATGAATATAAAAAAAATAATACGTAAACATTACTATCAACTATACAAAATATGGAGCGCTGCAATAACAATACTAATGGTATTATATTATAATTAAACGTTCACAAAAACGCACAGTTATTTTTCGTCCATACTTTCTAATGTTTTACATTGTAAGTAACACAGAGTTGTTCTGAATTCTGTGTCAAACAATCGCATTAATTATTACAGACGCATTACTGATAACATAAGAGTTATCTCCCTTTACTAATTTTTCAAATTGCAGTGTTATAACTATCCACATATTTTTTTTTATAAAAGTACATTTCTTTTCATACGAAGAGAAGTGAGGCTTATTCATCTTTGCTGGTATTTCGTTGCGAATATAACATAATTTTATTATTGTAACGTGTAACCGGGCGACGGCGTTTTAATACTTTTATCCTCGGGTTTGTACCAGTTTCCTGGGATTTGAAGAGCAATGCATTTCTAAAGTCAAACAGTTCACGCTTGACTACCAGATATAAAACAAATACTACCTAAAATGAATTCAACACATATCAACCTAACCCGAACCTGGTAAATTAAAACTGTTTAAAACCCTTTGAGTCTGATACTGGTTAAAACCAAATGTTTGGAACTGTAGGCTTAAACCTAATGTATGAAACAAATTTAAACTATGTAAACTTTCGTATGAAACCTTGTTGAAAAATATGTCTATAACCGTCGGAACCACAGGGTAGCACTAAGGCATTGTTTATCAGCAAACGCTCACTGCAATAGTGAGAGATGTGTAACGCAAAACCAGCCCTGTTTGGACAATTTGTACCGAACCAACCGTCACAGCCTTTCTCAAACACTTCACTTTGTTTAACTACTTCTGCTGCTTACTTTAAACTATTTACGTGCCTACCTTTCCGATCTGTTCTGTCTACTGTCTTCGGCACAAATGACAACTTTAACTGAGTAGCTACCCACTATTTATACTAGGAACGCGGACCTCGGAAGAGAGCACCCTAACAGCAACTGTACAGGTAAAGCGTCTTATAGCCACCACGGATAAAGGGATGATTTTCGATGCCGATTTCAACGATAGCAAAATCAAATGGCTAAATTCCGAAAGAATCGGCGAAAAAATAACTGTAGAAATATAATAATATTCATAAACTGAAAATTCGTAACATTATGCTAGGTATACTTGACTAGGTATATATCTTGTATATTCTTACATTGGTACATGTACCAGTTAATTATCGGATTTATCCTGTCTAGAAAGATAAATTATCGAAAAGTCTGAGCCTCGTCGAAGACGTTAATATGGATAATTTAACTATCGAGATTGGATACATCCTATAATCTACGAGTAACTATGTAAGAATCTATCTCTGTAATGATTATCAAATAAATTTTCATTTTTAACCGTATTTTCGATGTAAAAATTGGTTATTGATTTGGTGATGTACGGCGGGCGGGCTTGCGGGCGGGCGGTCGGTCGGGCGGCTGCCAAACAGTGTCCGTTCATTGCAAACGCTTGGATGAACTTGTTTCAAATTTTGATATATTGTTTATTGTGACTTAATGAAGGTCAAGTTCAATTTTCACGATTTTAGCTTTTCCCCTTGTCAAGTTATATATCCACTTCCAATAGTGAAAAGTGGTACCTATTATGTGATTGAGTTATTTCCCTTTAAACAGAAATGTTTAATTATATATGTAAAGTTTGCTTACACTTACAGATAGCTTTTATAGATTTTTAAAAGACATTGTATTAATGATAAATAACATTTTGGATTTTTCTTCTTTTCTTTGGTAATTTGATTGAAGAATTTTGTGGTAGGTTTGTTTTTTATTCTGTATAAACTAATTTTCTGAATGCTTTATATGTTTTTTTTTATGAAGTGAACTCCTATAAAAACTAAGCTTAAATTGCCTATTAATAAACATCGATTTAGATTTCTGATTTTGGATTTAATTTCATCAAAAATTGAATTCTCAGGGATCTTTGATATGATGATTCTAACAATGCGGTTGAATCATATCTAATTTTATTGATTATAATTTGAAGATAGATATATATTACATCATATCTAATTTTAGAAAACTATTTGTTTATAATTTATTCAGTTTGAGTTATTTCCCTTTGAACAGAAAATTATATGGATAAAATTAAACTATGTTTCATTTCAATATAAATTAATTATATATAGGGTTCTTTCAAATGCTGAATCTAAACCTTATTTAGATATTAGATTTTTGGGTCCAGTTTTCAAGTTGGTCCAAATAGGGTGTTGCTAAACGGCGGAAACAGAAAACGGAACGGAATACGGAACGGAAACGGAAAACGGAAACAGAAAGAATTAAAAACCAATTGTTCAGAGAACAATTGACGGTCTTTCCACCTCGACTTCAATAATGGTGAATGAAATTTAAAAAAAACTTCAAGATGCCATTTCAAGTTCATATGATTTGTGACTTCAAACTGAATTTAAGAATATAAGATTTATAGTTACTTTTCATTGAATTAGTACGAAATAGGATACTTCCGGTTAAAATAATATCAATTCCGGTTAGTCATTTAAAAGGTCAAATATTTACCAACCAAATGCAAAACAACTAATGGTTTTAAAATGGACCTGTATGAATTTTTAGCAAAGGTCAAAATCTAGAACGTCAAATTGACCTTTGACCTTGACCTCAATTTCAAGGTCATAGGTCAGTCATCCCAAATTAAAAGATCCCAGGTCATTCACTTGTATGGTTTAGGATTAATACTGATTTCAAATACATAAGGGGAGAAAATCTCGATAAAGGGTGACCAAAACACTTCGACTTAAATAGGTTGAAGTTGCGCCATATTGTAAACAATTATTTGGCAAACACATCATATCATTAACTGTTACGGTTTCTTTTGAATAAAGATAACAAGCAACATTCAAAATTAAGAACATGACCTTGACCTTTGACACTGACCCCAATTTCCTCCAAATGGACCAAGGACTTCATATCAAAAGAGTTAAGGCCTCTGTGACTTATGATGTATGAATTTATTCAACATATCACCTATGTTAAACGTTGAATTTTTCAAAGGGAAATAACTCCAATAAAATGTCATCGAATCACTTCAGTAAAAACTAAACCAAAACATTCTTAAGAGTAGACGAACAATTCGGTGAAAAAAGTTTGTTGATATCTTTTACGGTTTCAGAGAAATAAAGATAACAAGCAAAAGGGGATGCGGGGAGATAACTCCTATAAGAATAACTGTTATGTTACACAGGGTGAAGCTGTACGACTTAATTGGCCAAATATCCTTTCGATATATCTTTAAACAAAAAAGCATCTCAGACGGCAGAAGAAAAAAAAAAATAATTAAAAAACCAAACAGAGAACAATTGAAGGTCTTTTCACCCGAAATGATATATTTGATATGAAAATAACAATATCCA